TACCCCATGAGAATATTAATGTACACACCTATGATTTAATAAAAAAATTCATATAAACAAAAGAAATTAAAATGAACAGAGCACAAGAAGCCATACGACTTCCCCTGATATCCTTTGGACATTCATTTAGAAATCTGAAACAAGACCTAATAAAGAGTTTTGCACAAATGAACAGCCCGATAGAGGCTTCTAGTTTAAGATAAATTAAAGAATCTTACATATTTTAGGAACAAAGAAATTCCCACTCTTGCCTACAAAAGCATTTAAGTTTCATTTGGAATATGGAAACAATTTTTATTAACCATTTCTCCAAAATTCACCAGCTTGCTAAGGTCATCAGTCCATCCTGCTGTTTAATCAGGATGGATCACAGGACAATTGTGCAGGTAACACCCAGGTGTGGGTGAGAACAAGAAGGGGATTCTGCAACTTGAAATGCTGAAGTGAGGATCCTCTTCCTCACTCAGGTAGTAAAATAATACAAAGATCCTTCCACTTCTGCAGCAGTTCACACTTGGGCAGCCTCCGCTGGCCATGAGTCACACCTAGAACTACACAAGGCTCTGGGGATGGGATCTACGCTGCTGTTGTGTTACATTTTTAACCTTTCTTCTCCCCACAGGATTGCGTTGAGTCTAACAAACCCAACTGTAGGTTACTTCTTCTGTTGTGTCCTGACACAGCAACCGATCCAGAATAATACTGGTCGCTGAGACAGAAGACAAAATGGAAAGATGACTGTGTAATAACCAAGCCCCCAGCCCTTAACCCCCTCCCTAAGACCAGTGGAGAACAAGCCTCCTACCCTTGAAAAGGAAACCTCTCCGAAACCTTTTAGTTCCAGCCCTCTCAAGGGAGGAGAAGTTAGATTCTGGGAAGAAACTTGAAGAAAAGAAAAGGAGGAAGGGAGGAGTGGATTCCAAATAAAGCCCCAGGTGAAAAGATCCCAAGTTGTTCTCGGAAACTTACCCAATTTGTACCCTTAAATTGTGTATCCCCTAAGATTATACCCCATCTTATGATCATGAAGTTATGTACTTGTGATATATCTTGTGATTTATGAATCAATATGTACCCCCACCCTGTGACCCTGCATTAACCGCTATGACTGGCTTCTGTATTGCGCTAGCTTGCTGACCACGCCTGACTATGCAGAATAATGGTATAAAAAGGCATTTCACCTGCCATTCGAGGCTGCTTGCCTAGATGGTATCAGCCCCTTGTAGGTGCACCTGCGGGTGTATCAAATTATCAATAAATTTCTATTAATTAATTACATCCTTCTCTCGCATCTGCCATTTTATTTCAACTGGTCTGCTAGGAAGCAATAAAGTTTTTCTGATTGAAAATAAGCCAGAACTTTATAAAATCTTTTAAAACTATGAGGTTAAGA